ATCCACCACACGACTTTAGGAAAACAATCCTTTTTTATTGATGAAAGATGAATACAAAATAGAGGAAAAATGCAAAGGTAAAAAGTCATAGTAAAAATCAGCAACAAGAAATGTCCATAAATAAGATCATAAAACCCACAGCAAAACTGCGGAATCCTGGAACCTGTTAGCAATCCACTAACCATACTTGGAACAACTAGAAAACCTCCGAGGAGCAAGGCCACTTGAATCAGGAGAACAGCAAAAGCTTGCACATGAATCTGGAATGTGCCTGGTCTGAAGCTGCATTCAGGCCAGGCATACCTAAGGCCGAGAAATCTATTACAAGACACGTCTGACATTTTTGTTTGCCTTTCTCTCAATCTGGCTGACCTACGTAAACTTTGTGCTTCTCCCCGGCTCTGCCAAATCTGCCCCGCCTATCCTCATTAGGCAGACCAGGTGTCAGATTCTCCGGAGAAATAAGGCTGGGAGGAAAAGGGAGTGAAACTTTTCCGCTCGGCTTGGAATGCATATTCTCATGGGAATTTTGACTTTCACTTTCCAAGGCTGTAGGATTTTCACTACTCAAACCATCATCATCTAAATTGGCCTCAGAATTCACATTGACATCTACATTGGCATCAGGGAATACAATCAGAGAATCAGGTTCAGGATCAGGTTCAGGTTCAGGTTCATACACAGGCTGAACCCAAACAGATGCAGCAGTATCAAGAAATAACAGAACTTTCTAGCAGAGGTGATGTTTCCCTACGTGGGATGGGGAAACATCAACTAGCAGCTGGAACACCGGAATTGCCTTGCTAATGGTCTACTGAAGCCATGTTTCATTGTAGAGGCTGGCAAATCATGGTGCTGGACCTCATCCATGTGATGAGATCCTAGATTGAATATAAAAATGCATTTTGGAGAGAAGTGCAAAAATGAGGAGGGAAAGACAACCAATGTAACTGTCTACAAACTTGCACTAAGAAGATAAGAGGGAAACTTGATTTTTTTTGCCACTCTGCAAATCCTGTGCCGATATTACTACAGCCATTGTTTCATTCATTCATTTTGAAGTGCTTTCACTGTTCAAATGTCATTTTCTTTCCATTTTCCCAAAATGCAATACATTTTTATGCACTTACAATGGTAAGTGGAGAGATAGTTTTGTGCTTCCGAATGAAAATAGAAAATAGACAACTGTATGTGGATAAAGTGTTGAAGAAGATAAATAGAGATAGGCCCAGAACATTTTGTTATGGGCTGGATATCTCTTCCACAACATGTTTATACACTATGAACACAAACTGGAAATCCAAACATTGTTCTACATGCTTAAATATGACAGCATGTATGTGATCTATGTCTGCTGGAAGTGCTTTATTCATGAATCAAGCTGGAAACTGTTATGGCAATCATGATGGCAGAGTAGTACGTTCTCGTCAGCAATCTTTCTTGTGTTTCTTGAATAATAATTTTACACACATTTAATCACTTAGATTACTTTGATCATTTGGTAACTTTACATCTGATAATTTCATGAGAGAAGATAGCAAAACACGCAATCCATTGAGCCAGAGATAGGAATTATATGGGTTGTTGTAGGCCAATGGACACTCCACCTCAGACATCAGAAGAGCTGCAAGACCAAGAACAAGCCACGAGAATAAAAATGAAGATCCACCCAGAGGAAAAGTGTTCTTGCCATACATCAAGGGAACCACTGACCGCATAGGGAAGCTGATGAGGAAACACAACATACAAACTATCTACAGACCCACCAGAAAATCCAACAAATGCTACGTTCAGCAAAGGACAAGAGGGATCCTCTCACTTCTGCAGGAGTCTACCGTATACCATGCAGCTGTGGACAAGTCTACATAGGGACCACCAAACGCAGCATTGCCCAAACACGAATCAAGGAACATGAAAGGCACTGCAGACTACTTCAACCAGAGAAGTCAGCCATAGCAGAGCACCTGATGAACCAACCTGGACACAGCACATTAGAACACAGAAATGCTGGACCACTCTAACAACTACCATGTCAGACTACACAGAGAAGCCATTGAAATCCACAAGCATGTGGACAATTTCAACAGAAAGGAGAAACCATGAAAATGAACAAAATCTGGCTACCAGTATTTAAAAAACTCTAAAATTAAAACAGCAAAACAGCAGAGGAAAAACAATCAGGGACATCTAATCACCTCTCAACAAAAGATTGCTCCAGGCAATGCTAATCAAGGTGGTCAGTTGAAACATTCACACCTAGCTCCAGCAGACAAGAGTCCTTTGTCCCACCCTGGTCTTTCCACAGATATATAAACCCATTTTCCTACTTCCAACAGACCTCACTACCTCTGAGGATGCTTGCCATAGATGCAGGCGAAACGTCAGGAGAGAATGCCTCTAGACCATGGCCATATAGCCCGAAAGAACCTACAACAATCCAATGATTCCAGCCATGAAAGCCTTCAACAATACAAGGAATTATATGGCTCTCCGGATGTTGTTAGTCTGCAGTTCCCAGCTGGTGATGCATTAATTCAAAACTGGAATTTTCTTCTTAAGTGTAGGCGAGAGTCCTCTGGTTCAATGAAAGTTGGGATATGAGCATTTTTATTAAGAATATTGTTGAGATTAACTTCACAATTCAGCAGCAGATCAGTTGCACAACTTCAGCGCTTTCCAGTAGCTTCTTTCTGCACAGTATTTTCAGTCAACTGCTTCCACAGCCTGCAGTCACTCTGGAACCTTTTACAGACACTTGAGCACATGCCCAGCCATTGTCAGTTTTACCATTGTCTTTCCCCCAGTCTAGATGATATTACAAACTTACCACAGCATACAGTTATAGCTTGTCTTAGCAGACAGGTTCTTTTAATTACATATAACCTTCGACGAACAACATCACAGCACAAGGAGAAATATACACTGTACATGACTTCCTTATATACAATTCATTTACACATAGCAATCACCGATTGGTTCCCAACTCATTGACTCAACACAAACCCAGGATTGCATCATTCACAATCACCTGGACTAGGCCAGAACACATTCTCCAAATGAAGTTCTATATACAGTTAATGCATGACTCAGCATTTCCAATAGAAGCCCATTAGCAGTGCATGACTCAGCTATATTACATTACAATACATTGTAAAACCTGACAAATATATAGCTGGACAAAGGATTTCTAAGCAATGTATAAATTATGCTTGTTCATGTGCAAACTCAATTTCCAATACATTAATAGAATCATAGAATCATTGAGTTGGAAGAGACCTCATGGGTCAGCCAATCCAACCCCTTGCCAAGAAGCAAGGAAGCAAATTTCCAACTAACTCATATAAACAAATAGCCTTACCCCAAATCTTAGCTCAATAAATGCTTCTAAAATGCCTCTCTGGAACTGGAGAGGTTTACCTCAAGAGGAAGCTCACTTTCTGCTGTCTCTTCCGCCACACCCATGCAAACAGCCATTGTGTCTCGCCTTTATATGTCTCATGCCAAGTTGAAATGTCTGCGCCTTTTCCTTGATCACTGGATAGCAAGGGAAACCATCTGATCCCTAATCCATCTAAAACACAGACATGTGCCTTTCATCTCAAGAACAGAGAAGCATCCCGAGCTCTGAAGATCACCTGGGAAGGAACCCCACTGGAGCATTTCAGCGCACACATATACCTGGGAGTCACTCTGGACCGTGCTCTGACCTACAAGAAGCACTGCCTGAACATCAAGCAAAAAGTGGGTGCTAGAAACAATATCATACGAAAGCTGACTGGCACAACCTGGGGATCACAAGCAGATACAGTGAAGACATCTGCCCTTGCGCTGTGCTACTCTGCTGCTGAGTATGCATGTCCAGTGTGGAACACATCTCACCACACTAAAACAGTGGATGTGGCTCTTAATGAGACATGCCGTAGGGTGTCTGCACCCTACACCACTGGAGAAATTACACTGCTTAGCCGGTATTGCACCACCTGACATCCACCGGGAAGTAGCAGCCAATAGTGAAAGGACCAAGGCAGAGACATCTCCAGCTCTTCCCCTGTTTGAGTATCAGTCAGCACGTCAACGACTTAAATCTAGAAATAGTTTTCTAAGATCTACAGAAACACTCACTGGAACACCTCAGCAAGCGAGAGTTCAAAAGTGGCAGGCTCAAACCCAGAACCTCAACTAATGGCTGATACCAAATGAGAGACTCCCCCCTGGGCACACAGGGGGTGCTCTGGCACCACGAGATGCAGAGCCAACCTTCAGAAATGGGGCTACAAAGTGGAATCCACGACATGCGAGTGTGGAGAAGAGCAAACCACTGACCACCTGCTGCAATGCAACCTGAGCCCTGCCACATGCACAATGGAGGACCTTCTTGCAGCAACACCAGAAACACTCCAAGTGGCCAGATACTGGTCAAAGGACATTTAATCAACTACCAAACCCACAAATTTTGTATTCTGTATTTTGTATTTTTGTATTTTGTCTGTTTGCTTGCTTTGTTCTGTTAGAAATGTAATATAATTGACTGGTTGCTGATGACTTGATAAATAAAAATAAATAAATAAATAAGCAAGGGCCACCTAAGCCACATTGAAAGTATGCCCATTGACCACCCAGAGTCTGCATAAAAGTGTAATTGAACTTTTGCACGGGAAGTCATAGCATGACAGAAGCAGAAAATGAGGTCATGAACAGATTTGTGTGTGTTAAGAAAAAGAATACCTTTTAAAACACTCCCCCATGCAATACTATGGGGTGTTGATGTCATACACAGTGCTGAACAGTGTTGATGTCCTACAGTAAGCTCCAACCAGAGGCACTGTTATCCTGATACAATTATGATCTACTTCCATTGTGTGATGCATTTAGGTTTTAGTCAATAGATGCATTTGGGTTTTAGTCAATTCTTGAGAAACACAGAATGACTTCACATTGCTTAGCTAAGTAGGCACAGAAAGCTGATTAAGTACATCAAGGACATATTGTTTTGAACTTACCTGGTGTATTGAGAAGCTTTGACAGCTTACAGGAGTAGGAGATAAACTGCTCACAATATTCAGCACTCCCTGTGATGGCAGCGATCTGATCTGCATTGGCACTGTAATTCAGCTGTATCAAAGCATGCTTCTCTGGCCGGTTGCTTACTACTGAAGATCTCTCTTGTAGGTCATGATGCACAGTAGTCCATACTTTGTCCTCTGGAATCAAAAAAGAGAAAAAATAAATCAAGAAGAAAGATATTTGCATCCATACATCAAGGGAACCACTGACCGCATAGGGAAGCTGATGAGGAAACATAACATACAAACTATCTACAGACCCCAAAAAAATCCCACAAATGCTACGTTCAGCAAAGGACAAGAGGGATCCTCTCACTCTGCAGGAGTCTACCGTATACCATGCAGCTGTGGACAAGTCTACATAGGGACCACCAAACGCAGCATTGCCCAAACACGAATCAAGGAACATGAAAGGCACTGCAGACTACTTCGACCAGAGAAGTCAGCCATAGCAGAGCACCTGATGAACCAACCTGGACACAGCATATTATTTGAGAACACAGAAATGCTGGACCACTCTAACAACCACCATGTCAGACTACAGCCTGTTTGATCAAGAAAAAATTTGGTTCTAAAATCGATTTGTAATTGGGGTGTTTTTTTTGTTTCGATATTTAAAATAATTACAAAATTTTCCCAAAAAAAGTTTTGGTATTTACGAAATTTCGTAAATATTTACAAAACATTTTGTAAAGATGGCGGACCCCCGCGCATGCGTAAAACAAGCTCCGTTAAGGGTATAACTGCAAAGTTTCTTATCAATCCAGGATTCATTTCATCAGGGTTACTTGATAGTAAACATCCTTTTGCATTTTAGAATATTTTCACATATTATTCCCATCTTTATTAGGAGCAGAACTCCTGTATCTTTCCCAGTTGTATAGAAGAATGAATTCGGTCAGATGTTGCTTACATGGGAAGGACTCCTATGTGATAGGTGTGACATTTGTCATCAGAAGAGATGGGTCTGACTAACTGCCCGATTCACAGAATGGTATTATACATACACTGAGCTCATAGGCGCATGGAGACAGAGCCGGCGCTGCAGGAATCCCCTCCCCGGCTCCTGCGCTCCGGCTCCTGCACTCCGGCTCCGGCTCCTGCGCCCTCCTCCTCCTCCTCCTGGCACTTCCTGCAACACAGCTGCGGAGGCCGGGTGTCTCTTTAAGGCGCCTCTCTCTCCCAGCAACACAGCTGGGAGAGAGAGGCACCTTAAAGAGACAACCGGCCTCCGCAGCTGTGTTGCAGGAAGTGCCAGGAGGAGGAGGAGGAGGAGGAGGAGGAGGGCGCAGGAGCCGGAGCCGGAGCGCAGGAGCCGGGGAGGGGATTCCTGCAGCGCCGGCTCTGCCTCCGTGGCCCGCCTGAGATGGCGAGCGCGCGCGGGCCGGCCAATCGGGAGCCGCGCTCGCGCCCAACAGGCAGGCGTGGGGCTTGGCTCACTGGGTGCGCGCTTGCGCCGCCCCTTCGCCCCGCCCGCCCCATTTACGAAACGGGCGAAAGCTCGTTAAAACTGTGGGGGTTGCCGTTTCGATATTTAAAAACCCTTCCGGGTTTGAAAATATGTTTTGTTGTCGTTTCGTATATGCGAAAATTAACGAATGTTTAACGAATTAACGAATTAACGAACAACCACTCTACTATGTCAGACTACACATAGAAGCTATTGAAATACACAAGTATGTGGACATTTTCAACAGAAATGAGGAAACCATGAAAATGAACAAAATCTGGCTTCCAGTATTAAAAAACTCTAAAATTACAACAGCACAACAACAGAGAGGAAACAAACAAGGACATCTTATCACCTCTCAACAAAAGTTTGCCCCAGGCACTTCCAAGCCATTGCATGCTAATCAAGGTGGTCAGTTGAAACATTCACCCCTAGCTCCAGCAGACAAGTGTCCTTTGTCCCTCCCTGGACATCATTCCACAGATATATAAACCCATTTTCCTACTTCCAACAGACCTCACTCCCTCTGAGGATGCTTGCCATAGATGCAGGCGAAACGTCAGGAGAGAATGCCTCTAGACCATGGCCATAAAGCCTGAAAAAACCTACAACAACCCTGTGATTCTGGCCATGAAAGCCTTTGACAATATATTTGCATCCATGTTTTAAAGGTTTCTTGGGTCATAGGATAGTGTTGCAGTATTAATACAATTACCACCAAAATTAATTTCCTTCAGACATTAAGCAGGATAGCTATTCAACTCAGTCAGTTATCTGAATATTGGGTGACATTCATTTTTCTGTATTGCATATGGATTGCTAATCTATGACTGAGAATAAAGTGTACTTAAAATAATCTCTTATGAAGATATTGATTAATTTGATGATAAAGAGGAGAAAATCTTGGCATCATCTTTTATTTTTTTAAAAATAGATCATGTGCTGTCATGCGCTGGGCCTATAGCAGTTGGCTTTTGAACAGGACGTGCTCTCTGTGCCCAGCGGGAAGCCGGGGTGCTCGGCTGAGAGGCCCTAAGGATTTTCCTATACAGATTCTTTAGACGCTTGAAAGGTTTAACAAAGTCCTTTATTATTGCTTAAGTCTTCAACAAACAATCAAATACTTCTTAGATTTTCATCAAATTAAACAAATGCTTCTTAACTTGTCTACAAAGGACAGGTACCTTGCTTGGAGAACTATTTCTTTCTTTAACAAGGAAAACCCTTTTTGACCCCTCCTGGGCAATCTGTTTTCTAAACCTTGCTGGTGTGGGTCCTACTCCCGGCTCCAAACTGCTTCTTGGGTCCCGAGTAGACCTTCCAGTCAAGGCTTTGTAGATTTTCCAGCTGGAGTCCTTTTTCTCCATGAATGGTGTGGATCTGTATCTTTAACCCCAACAAGGGTTGTGCTGTAAAACTGTTTTCCTTAGAAGCTTTAGGGCTGTTTCCGCCGGATGTTTACCCCGGATGTTGTGAGAAACAAAGCTTCTCTACAGGTGGGGAAAGCTCAAGTCCTGTAACTGGGCTTCCAAAACTGAAAGACTGTCTGAAGTCTTTCTTTTCCCTCCCAGAGCCCTGGGGAAAGGGGTGGAACTAAAGAACATAATCATGATTGGCGGGTCATTGGCCCTATAATTGCAGAGCAAGGGAAACCATCTTATTGCAAAATGCATGGAACCTTGGAATACATGCAAACACTCAATAGAAAGAAAATGAAGTAGGAGCTCCTGTTACAGCCGTACCAGCACAGACCATATCTACAATAAAAGACAAAAACAAAAATAGTTTGAGTTGCTTGTTTCCAAATTTGTAGTATAAGGCTTTGTTATACTGCATATTCAAGTTGTGTTAGTTCAGCTTTCTTACTACTGTATTTAAAACTACCTGGTTATCTGGGTGCATGTATGTCTGTCTGCTTGAAAAAACTGATGCTGGACTTCAATTTGCTTTTTTGTCCTCCCATCTTCTTGTATGAAATGACTTGTCAGAATTAATTTCAAAGTATCCTACAATAAAACTTCTAAGTATCTACGAGTGTTGAATGAAAAGTAATGCCTCCACCTTCATAACTCCTCAACAGATAGCAGTATTGGTATGTGGCAGGTACTGGCTTGTTTAGTAGACTCTCCTCTACAGATCCATTTTGGCAGGAAGCCTTAGCATTGAACAGTTGTGTTGTTAAAGTGCGGAGTATGGAACCCTGCGCAGATGGTCGGTCAATGCGACTTAAGCAACGTGCAGTCATTGATTTCTTGACAGCATAAGGTTTCATCAGAGAATGCAAGCTGTTTATGGTGATTGTGTTGATGTGAGTACCGTGCATCATTGGGTGAGAAAGTTTAAAGATGTTGAGGTGGGAATATCTGACTTGTGTGACAAACAAAGATTTGCACGTCCTGTGACAGCAACCACTGAGTTTCCCAAGTAAAAGGTTGACAGATTGATTCAGGATGATTGTCATATCACTCAGAGAGAAATTTCAAGCATAAGTGGCATTTCACAAGAACGTATGGGTCACATTATTGCTTTGCTTGGCTATTGGGAGATCTCTGCACGATGGGTACCCAGGATGCTGATGCCTGAAATGAAAGCGCACAGACTTGAAACTTCAGAGACTGGATCTCACCACCATACGACATCCTCCATACAGTCCAGATTTAGCACCGTCTGACTTCCATCTGCTCCTGATAATGAAAGAAGATCTGCGGGGACATCATTATGCTTCTGATGAAGATGTTGAGAGAACTGTGAGCCGCTGGTTGCGGAAACCGAGTATCAACTTCTTCCATGACTTGTTCATCGTTTGCAGAAATGTATCCAATTGTCTGGTGATTATGTGGAAAAGTGAATAGTGGTAATTAAAGAGAACATTCTAAGGATTATTTCTGCATTTGATTTATTAGAAAATATTTCCATCCAAACCCAATAGTGAAGGTGGAGGCATTACTTTTCATTCAACCCTCGTAGGTACTGGGTAAAAAACTTCCTTTTTTTAAAAAAAAAATTCCCTCTAAACAAATAATTGAGCAATAGATTGGAGTTAAATCTCCAGATCATGATTTTGTGAGAGGATAGCCTTTGTATAGCAGATCATCAAGAGAAATGACTTGTCTGAACAGATGATTAATTCTATTTTGACTTCTGTAATCTCTATTAAAATTGCTTTTGCTTATGGAAAGAGAGGTTAGTAATTAATTTTAAGCCACCAGACCAATCTTTTTGTAGACCTTCAGCTCTCTTTGTTCTATATAGTTTTGGTAGATCTTGAATTAGAGAACTATGGGATGACTACTGGATGCATTCATTCCTTGCGCTGTTCAATTTTCTTTTTGCTGTGGGATGGTTGGTCTCCTGTATACTAGCTCCTAATGCTGAGTATATTTCTCATGACATGATGTCCAATTTATGAGAAAAAAACTAAAACTAAAACTACTTTTACAAAATGAAATGACTGGATGTATTTTATTACAGTATAAGGGTCTATCTACGTGAACCACAAATGGTAATGCTGATCTGGAATCGATTACTCTAGATCAACATCACTATGGTCCACATAGTCAGCCAATAAGCTGGCTTGGAGACTGATAGTGGCTGTACTGTGTGTTCCTGAGTCAGTTCAGTGGCTGGATGGCCTCCACAAGGCCCAGTGGCACAGGACTGCCACTGTTAACTTGCCCCTGTTGATCTG